CCCTCTGTTTATCTTTCTTTTCTATTAACTCTCTCTAGCAAGTCACGGCCTCATCTGACCGAAGGCACGGCTGGGACTCACTCCCACTCTCCGTGACTTTTATTCATTCTAGCCGATCGGACTCGGTTATGCATGGATTTGGAACCCTTGGCCATGTGAGTACATAAACTCTCTCTCGGGTAAACTCGGGTATAGCCCTTATCCGCATGCACTCTCACGTGCTACACCACTTCTCTCTCATACTCATGCCGCTCTCTCAATGCGGCGTATATGCGGGAATACTCTACTCACTACTCACAGGTTCCCCATCGCACAACCTACTCTATTCTCTTGTCTAGCACTACTTTCTGTTTGATCTCTAGCGCTCATCCTCTCTCTTTCTCTTTACTCTTAGAGTAGCTTATACTCAATTTTTCTATTCTTTCTCTACTCTCTTTTCTCTTCTCTAGTGCATAATTAATGCATATAGATGACTCATGCTCATTAAATTATGCCATGTAGCAAAAATTAATGCTTTCTACTCTTACTCATGCTTCTCTTGAGCATTTCATCATACAACTCATGTGCATATAAAGCTCTACTTTAACTATAACTTTTCTCTTTTCTTTAATCATCCAAACAATGGGGGAAAACTCCCTCATAATCTCTAGATTCCTGTCAAATAAACACACTTCCATAAGTGTTGCTCAAAACTCTTTCCATCTCCTATCAACCCAACTCCACATCATAGAAGTTCAACACTTCTCATACCCAAACATATTCAATAATCATACATAACTACTAATCTCATCTCATCTCATCCCAACAAATATAAAACATACATATACATACACAATCTCTACTCAATTAAATTCTCAAATCTCAACTTAGTTAGGATTTACTTACCTTATGAGGAAATAGCTTCTCTAATACTTCTCATTTCCTTTGATAGCTTGATTTCTCTCTACAGCTTTAAATAACAACCACAACATAAGACTTTAACCAAAACATAATAAAACCCTCATCTAAAGTAAGAATCCTTACCTTAGGATGCTTTAGATTAAAACTCTCCTAAAAACTACTCAAAAAGTCCTTAGAAATCTTTGGAAGATTAAAAGAAATTTGAGAAAAAGTAGAGAATGGAAGAGGCAGTGGAAATGGATGAAATGAAGGATTCTCTACACTTAACCCTTTTTAGCTCAACTTATACACAAGCATTCCCGTTTTGCCCTTACTCTTTCTTGAAAATTTCATCTATATCCTTTGATTCCTTACAAATACACCCCCATACTAACATATTTTCCATGAAATTTCTTTACATTTTACTCCCCACTTTTCCTGCTAATTAGGGGTAGAATGGTCAAAATTGCCCTTAAGGAAAAATATCTAAAACTTAATACAACTTTTCAGCCGACCCGTCGCTGCGACGAAGACAATTCCGTCGCTGCGGCGAAACAATCCAGCAGTTACTCCGTGGCTGTAACACCTCTTCGCCGCGGCGAAGATTCTTCTTCGCCCCGGCGAAGCCTGTAACACAACATTTCGCCAAGTCTTCATAATTTTCAAGGCAATCACTCAACCAACCCAATACATCCAGTCAACCAAGGGCCAACCAAACAAAAAATAACAACATATAAGTTTAATTGAAGCTGAATCAATGAACGTCAAGTGGGGCGTTACACTAACCTCATGGCATACAACGTTGCAAATAAATAAAATATTAAAAGAAACCAAACATGTTTCAAACCAAATGACCGACACATTATGATAAATAAAATTAAAGACTCAAACACCCTGAGGCATGAATAAACTAAACAAACTGTGTTCTAGCAGACACCCTTTTCAACATTCTAAACCATCAAGGATTTCAGCAAAATACGTCTGAATCCAGGATGATTATATCCATGAGGAGGCATCATATTCGGATTGAAGCCAGCAGACTGAAGGTCAAATGGAAGATTAATCCCTCCACCACTTGATGAACTCGCTCCAAGAAACTGTGGAGGATCATAATCTTCTCAGCTTGCTTTGCCGTATTCTTCTTCAGCTCCTCTAGCGTCGCTTTTAACTGCTCAAGCTGTGGCAAACTAAGGTCTTCAATCGGATTCTCCCACCAGCACTGAGCCTAAGCTGAGGAAGAAGAATTGTTGATTGCCGAAGAACTGAAGAAGAACGACTGAACGAGATTTGTTTTAATTTTTTGTAAAAACCCACCAAAACGACGTCGTTTTGGGGGTGTGAGATTTTGTTTTTTTTTTTTTTTTTCAAAAATTCGCGAATAATTTGCAAATTATACGGGAAACCTTATTATACGCGAATTATATGGCAGATTTTACAAAATACGTATACGTGCGTTTTATACGCGAATTATATGGTTGTCTGTACAATTCGCGTATAATACGTGTTTTTACTAACTAGGTGTAATACTACTACTAGTAATAGCGCCCTCTACACCACCTTGGGTGGGAACATGTGGTTTACTTTAGGGGGTGTTTGTTTCTTATATAAATAATTAATGTGTTTGGTTTATAGTAATTAGTAATTATAAAATACTTAACTATTATTTTACTAAAAGCTATTTACAAGACTATATGTTATTATTGTTGTTGTTGTTATTAATATTACTAATATTATTAATTGTTATATATATATATATATATATATCTAAATAATTAATAATATTAAAGAAGTCATTCAACAAGTTGGGTTAATTGTTATTTGACATCAAAAGAAAGACATTTGTGTCCAAAATTTTATTAAATAAAGATAAAATTAGAACAAAAATAAAATTATCACAATAATCTTAAAATAGCACATTCTAATTAAGTAATTACATAATCTCTTATATCACTTCTCATGCTATTTAAGTAATAAAAAATTCTTTTATTACTTGTTAAGTCAAACAAAATAATGCTTGAATTAAAAATAAGATTATCCAAATANTAACCCGGCGGGTTAGGGTTGGCGGGCCGGGCTGGGCCAGCCATTTTCCCCAAATTGACGGGCCTAACCCGGCCCGCCTTTGTTGGCGGGCGGGTTAAGCCCAGCCCGCCAAAGCATGTAACCCGCCGCGGGCCGGGTCGGGTCGAGCTGGACGGGTTACTTTTCCACCTTTAGAGGGTGTTAGTAAAATAAATTTGAAAGTAAGATGATATTTTTCTAATTCTATTAAGTTGGAAGTTAAAAAATAATTTATTAATTAGAAAATGATACAGTCACCTAAAAAGGATATTGATCTAATTATGAATTTTGTTTTTAAAAAAATCAAATGGTGTCACTCATGTTTGGTACATAAATTTGATATATTTTTTCGATAATTGTAGTATTATTTTTATTAATTTATTTGTCTATGTAATACTACTACCAGTAATAGCGTCTTCTACACCACCTTGAGTGGGAACATGTGATTTACTTTAGGGGGTGTTTGTTCTACACCACCTTGAGTGGGAACATGTGATTTACTTTAGGGGGTGTTTGTTTTTTCTATAAATAATTAATGTGTTTGGTTAATAGTAATTAGTAATTATAAAATACTTAAATATTATTTTACTAAAATGTTATTTGCAAGATTATATGTTATTATTGTTGTTGTTGTTATTAATATTACTAATATTATTATTTGTTATATATATATATATATATATGGAGTATTTTTGTCTAAATAATTAATAATGTTAAAGAAGTCATTTAACAAGTTGGGTTAATTGTTATTTGACATCAAAAGAAGGACATTTGTGTCCAAAATTTATTAAATAAAGGTAAAATTATCATAAAAATAAAATTATCACAATAATCTTAAAATACCATTCTAATTAAGTAATTACATAATATCTTATATCACTTCTCATGTTATTTGAGTAATAAAAAATTCTTTTATTACTTGTTAAGTCAAACAAAATAATGCTTGAATTAAAAATAAGATTATCCAAGTAATTTTTTTTAGAGCCTTAACCATATGTAACCTAATAGTAGTAATTAGTAGGAATCCAAAAACGCAATATTATTAATACTTCTAAAATTACACATTATTAATTATAATTAATAAAAAAATAGAAAATGAAATAAAATTAAAAAAAGTATCAAACGAGAAAAGTAAAGTAAGAATAATACTATATCAACAATCTTCTTTCATAAATTTTTTTTTATAATTCTGATATGATAGTTTGTAATTGGTTAATTTATAACAAATTTTACATGAGTCCCTTATGAATCCTATTAAGTAATTACGAGTTTACCAATTATTAAATGTGATATTAAGATTGTGTGAGAAATGATTGGTGTAGTATTACACTGTTACTTGTAAAGTAAAGAATCGATCTCTCTAAAGTCACACGTTCCACAATCTCTTTCTGACACGTCAACCACTTGGTTAAGAAATCAATCTACTTTTTAATTTCGACAACAGGTCCTTCACACGAATGGAAGCCACGTGATTCATTCACATCTGAACACGCCACGTGTAAGTTACTGACAGACTCGCCGTTGCTTGGGGGTAAGTTCCACGTCACCCTGACCGTCCCTCACCGTTAAAAGCCAGCTTCCCATTCCCTTCTTGGTTTCTTCTCTCCTTCACAATTAAGGTTATATACCTATATCCCCTTCTTCTTTTTCCTCTCTTTGTTTTTAAAATTAAAAAAAAAAAAAAAANGTGAGAAATGATTGGTGTAGTATTACACTGTTACTTGTAAAGTAAAGAATCGATCTCTCTAAAGTCACACGTTCCACAATCTCTTTCTGACACGTCAACCACTTGGTTAAGAAATCAATCTACGTTTTAATTTCTACAACAGGTCCTTCACACGAATGGAAGCCACGTGATTCATTCACATCTGAACACGCCACGTGTAAGTTACTGACAGACTCGCCGTCGCTTGGGGGTAAGTTCCACGTCATCCTGACCGTCCCTCACCGTTAAAAGCCAGCTTCCCATTCCTTTCTTGGTTTCTTCTCTCCTTCACAATTAAGGTTATATACTTATATCCCCTTCTTCTTTTTACCTCTTTGTTTTTTAAAAAAAAAAAAAAATCAAAAAAAAAAAAAAAAACCTAAAAATTCATATCATCAGATTTTGCAGATCTCTTCACCGAGGTTTCAAGGTTTCTTCTCTCCCCCTGTCTCTGTGTTTATTTCAGGTGAGTCGCATAAGTCGGTTCTGAGTCAACTCTAGGGTTTTTATTTTGTTGAATACGTGGTGATCGTTGATCGAAGATGATTATTTTGGATTTACCTTTTCCTTTTTCTGGAAATTTTTTATTGTCTTGAGTTAGCTGTTGTTTGGTTGCTGAGAAATGGTAAGAAAAGGGATGAGAAAAGAACGGAAAAGTTTGGAATTTGTGTTATTGTTTTAATGTGTTCTCGAAATACGAGACTCTCTTCTTAAGAGAGTTAATTAGTTGAATTAGGTACATTCTTTTGAATTTTTTTGTTTTTCTTTTCACGTTAAAAGATTTGAAAGTAGGTTTTTTTTTTTTCTTTTCTTCTCTCTTGAAAAAGATGAAAAAAATCAGCTTATGAATGTCAACTAGTTCTATAAGCAAACTTTCGTTTGAAACTATAATCTGCTTGATTTTGTACTTTTTCTTGGAATCAATTAGAGGATTGGGGATTAGGTTGACACAACTAAGATTATTTTGTTGATTTCGTTTGTGGAAATGGGTATTTTTCATTGCAGCTTGGGCTTGTTGAAGGTGAATTTCTTTGAGACTACTTTTTTCGGGTAAAATTCGACTACTTAGAAAAGAGGGTTTTATTGTTTAAAGTTGGAGGTCTGGGTCTCATGAGAATTGTTAGGGGAATGCAGAGATCGTTTCCTGAGGAGCAGAACAACAACACACTGCTGGGCTGGAAAAAATCCTTCAGCCAAGGAATTGGAGTTACCGTGCCCAAGGCCAGAGCGCGTGATAAACCCATGACTACTAGGGTTTTGGTTCTCTAAACGTGTATTTGGGCAAAACAATTGGCGATTGTAAACATTGAACTTCATGACTCGAATTTTGGTTCAGCGAGGTTCTGCAGGTGGCTCTTCTTCAAATTCAAGCCGTGCTGGGTCCTCTTCTTCTCGAGGAGAGCCACAGGTTAATACTTCTCCTCAGGTTCTTTCTTCTGTGAAAGATGAGGAAATTGGAGAGCAAGTGTCGGAGCAAGTTGTTGTGGATGAGCTTTTGGATTATTGTGGAACTAGTGATAATAAAATTATGAAAAGTGATGATTTTTTGGTGGAAAACGTCAATAACGATCATAATGAGAGTTCAAGTGATGAAATTGGTGATAGTGAGAAATTGGGTAATGAGGAGAATGTGGGTTCAGGGGAATTAGTAAAGAGTTTGGATGGGCTGAGAATTTCAGAGAGAGTTGCAGTTGAAAGTGAAGGTTCAAGTGGTGAGTCCCCACAGCTGATTAGTGGAAGTCCACAACCGCCCCCGCCTCCTGTTCCACCCCCAAAACCTTTGGCATCAAACTTAAATTCAAGAAGATCTGTCTCAGGAAGCTCAAATGCTGGACGTGTTGGATCATCGAGAAGAGCAGTTGCCTGGCCTGTCGTCTCCACAAGGACTTCACCATCTGGATCAAGGCCTTCATCTCCCAGGTCCCATGTTGAAAGTGAGGGGTACAATAGCGCTGATGAGCAGAGTCCACGTTTTGTATCCTCCTACGATGACTTGGTAAGTTTTTGATATTATGCAATTAAAATGATGATGTCATACAATATTATTGTGATTCATGAAAATATATATACATATATTTTGCAATTGAAATATACTTTAAACATGCGAAAAGCAACACGAGTTTTGTTGTATAACTTTTTTAAAATTCTTTTCTTTAGTTATACATGTTTTTTAAACAATTTCCTTGGTGGGATAATGCCTTCGTTCAATGTTTGGATACTCCAGCTCCAATTGCTTGCTCCATTATTATAATAGTGTCATATTGCATTCTTTTAGGAAAGAGAACGTCAATTTGAGATTGATATCAGGCGGGCAAAAGGTTTTGAAGTCAAACGAATGCTAGAGGATGGGAATTGTCTCTTCCGTGCTGTTGCAGATCAGGTGTATGGGGACTCTGAATCATATGATTTGGCGAGACAGATGTGCATAGATTATATGGTAAACCGTTTTGTTTTTCTAATGTTCTTTGAATTACATTGTTATTATCATACAGTTGAGTTTCTATTGTCTTGGTATTATTCGTTTTTTTAGCCATTTGGTGCAATGAAATTCCAAAGCTGGTCAATGAGTGTTGTTAGGTTTTATCATTGGAAATAATGATAAAAAAAGGTCAATTTTTCAAGATAAATGGTTTTAAAAAATCGTGTTGTGTCATTTTGGATTGTCTGTCCTAAGCTTGCAAGGTGCATCCTGTGGCTTAGTTAAGAATCTTGCATGACATCTGTATTTTTTGATGTAATAATTGTAATATTTAATTGTGTGCGTATTGTGTTATATTGGTTCTGTGCTGCCTGCTGTTTGTGAGATGTAATTTTCATGCTGGTGGGAATTGGTCTTCCCAAAGAAGTAAGTATGATTGTAATAGGAATTTCAAACCATGACTGAAAAAATAACGTAGAAGAAAATAATATTTATGCCTTAAATGTCTTTTCTGAACGATTATGATATCATGAAGTGGCATTGATTTTAAAAAGAAAGCAAAATGACTGAATTTTTTGAAGCCACAGAATGAAATCTGGTGGTGTGGGGATACAGGGTATGAGACTAATTCTGAGTTAAGATGTCAACTGACCTCATTATTTGGGTGACATGGATTAATGTGGGGGGTTCTATCTGAAATAGGAGGGGATACAGGGTATGAGACTAGTTCTGAGTTAAGATGTCACTGGACCTCATTATTTTTGGTGACATGATCTGACCCTCTGTTGGGATGAATGTGGGGGGTTCTATCTGAAATATGAGAGGATATTAAAGATTCAATCTAAAGGGTATGCCTGTAGCCATGTCCTGTAGCATGTTGAGATTGATTAAAACTGCTTTTATTCTCCAATTTTGCTTTTGTGAACTCTTTAGATATTACTGTCGCATTTGCATTTGAGCTTTGACATCTACTTGGAGTGTGATGTTTTTTGTTTTCACACGTTTGTCATGAAAATGTTCTATCAAGAATTTCTCTATGTTAGGATCCCACATTGAAAGAGAAAAGGGTGGGCATGTGGGTTATAAAGGTTTGGACACCCTCCCTTGGCAAGCCGGTTTTCCAAGGAGAGTTCTACCCAAGCCCATGAAAGACCCATGGCCCAGCCCAAATTGTTGAGTTATTGGAGTGGGTTCCTATCACTCTATATTGTATTCGGTCTTAATATGATTACTTGACTAGCCTTATCTTTTATTTCTATGAACTATAAATTGTCTTTTACCAATTAGGAGCGAGAGAGGGATCACTTTTCTCAATTTATAACCGAAGGTTTTACATCTTACTGCAAGAGGAAGAGAAGAGACAAGGTATGTGAAGCTTTAATCCGTGTTTAAATTTGTTAACCCTTCAATCTTTCTGTTCTAAATCACTAATTTAGTATGCATTTTACTTACATATGTTTTCATGATATCTTATTTACTTTTCATGATATCTTATTTACCTTATCATATCCTTGTTTAAATCCTGATCAAATTTGGATTTGTCATTGGTAAATTTGAATGCGATGCCGGCTGAATCCCCTAGAAACACTTTGGGCCTAGCCCAAAGGTGCCAATTCTCCTTGGCTTGATAAATTATCAAAGAAAACAAGTAACATGATTTATTGAGCAGTTTTTAATGATCTGTGACACAATTATTATTACCAATCCTGTCTTTTTCTCTTTCTCTTTTCACATTGTGGTGCATTTAGGAGTGCTTTGGACATTGTTAAAAGGACTTTCAAATAACCAAAATCGATTTTGTGTTTGTCTATAGTCAGTGAAATAGATAAAAGTTTTTTTGAGATTAAAAAAGGAATGTCTTGCTATGTTTTTGGAAGAAACCAGTGATAAGTACTCTCGTTGAAAAACGCTTTGGGTGTCAAAAAAAACATTTGAAATGCTCTCTTGAGAAATATTTAGTATATGCTTTTCCAAAAAGAGCTTTCAAGTGCCTTCTTGAAAAGCGTTGTTCACTTGAAAGTAGATTCTATAATATCACTCTCTAATGCACCATGCTTTCATTGGAGTTTTAGATAGTTAATCATTTTTTTTTTTTAATTTGTTAATTTTTTTTTTTAAATCTTTATAAATGAGAAAGTTTTGGGAACCCTAGAAATTGTCCTCTGTTCAGGTGGGAAATATAGTTCTGTTTCTGTTTTCCTTCACTTCTCCTGTCAGTCAACCTAGATGTAAATGATTTGATCCGGAAGGTTAAAGAAATTTCTAGTGAATAATTTTGAAATTTAAGGTCTACAAAGACTGGGGGAGACCAACTTTTAATTGGATTCATGATCAGGTGTCATATATTTTCTGAAGTAGCAGGATCTGGCTATATTTATGCAATGGACAGAGAAACTGCAGAACTTCTTGGCTGATTTCCTTATTAAATGATTCCTGGGATAAATTATATGATATTCCTAAATATTGGGTGCCTTTGTAGTAGGCTTTTTGCCCTCCAGTTGACAGAATCTATGCCAGTCAGTTTCATAACATGGATGTAGAAATTAATTTGCTTGCATAATATACAAAATTACTGTTTTAAATTTAGCACCTTAGGTATGTGTCTTTCTTACTTTTGTGTGTTCAGGCCCTGTAATCTTTTTGCAAATATGCAGATGCAAGTTTATTGCTTGATCTCACTTCAGCATTTGTTATGCTTTCGCTTCTATCAAGTTTTTTGAATTTCAATGGTTGTAGCCCATTCATAATATGGCCTAGGATCAGTCTGAGGTTTTATTTCCTGTATCATTGTGGTTGGTGAAAGTATATCTTTTTGACCTGGGTGCAGGTCTATGGAAACAATGTGGAGATTCAAGCATTATCTGAAATGTATAATCGGCCTATCCATATTTATTCCTACAGTACAGGTTCTGTTTTTAATGATGGTGAATAATGTTTTAAACGTGCCTTTGTGAAGTTTTGCTGTCTTCTATTTTTCTTTCTTACAAAAAATGTCATTGCAGAACCCATCAACATATTTCATGGAAGCTACAATACTGACACGCCTCCCATACGGTTAAGTTATCATCATGGGAATCACTACAACTCCCTTGTTGACCCGCGGCGCTTGACAATCGGTGCAGGACTTGGGTTCAGTTGTCTTCGAGGGGTATGCCTATCTGCCCGGGATTTCTATCTCCATAATTTAGTCCATTTTCTTTTGGTATTTTTTTTCTTGCAACTAATGGGATTAGGTTTATTTCATATTGATAAAACTTAATTTTAAGAAGCACCCAGCTATATTAGGTTTACTTAATGAAGGATAGACGTTAAAGATGTGAGAGATGGGAAGGGGAAAGGTTCACCATAGGAGAAATTCAGGTGCTCATAAGTTTATGGGATAACCTGCATGTTATGCACATAATCATGTTTCTCCTTTGGGTGTAGTTTGAATGGGTCAGCTTTCTTTTCTTATCCTAATTATTATTGGGAACAAAAATGAACCTTCTTTTAATGCTTGAATGAGAACCTTACTGTCAACATTGGCCAGTCAATTTCTACTATGTTGGAGAATTTGCTGACTGTTTCTTTGGGTTTGTTGATAATGGTATTTTAACTGAGTAGATGGTTTTTAATGATTTTGAATAGCAAAAAGCTTCATGTTATCTGACACTATCGTGGTTGTTTTTATGCAGACAAATGTTGACAAAGATCAAGTCAAGGCTGCCATCAAGGCTCAACAAGACCAACAGATTGATAATGCAAGTGTCTTTTTCTATATTATCATGCAAAACAATCGAATTTAAATATTTAAGGATGCGTTTGGTTTATTATTTTAGATAATATTTTGGGAATAATATTGGGTAGTTGAATAGGGGAGTATTACGAGGTAAAATTTATAAAAAAACCGCTAGGTTTACTAATTTAATTAAACACCCCAATATATAAAATGACAAAAACACCCCCACCACCCGCAATGCCAGATCCTGGCCATCACCGTCGGAATCTGGTCGGAAAACTATGTTACGACACAAACCGGTTGGATTTGTGTCGTAACGCGTCAATTTGGCCTTTTCCGACCAGATCTACTACGGATATGGTTGAAAAAGGCTAGATCTACGGCCAAATGTGGCCTTCGACGGTCGCAAAGGTCCATCTTTGGTTGTCAGTGACGGTCAAAGATATGGCCGTCGTTTTCGGTCAACGATGGCCAAGATAACAACGACGACCATTTCTTTGGTCGCCATTGACAGCCAAATCTGGCCTTTTCCAGTCAGATCCACTGTGGATTTGGATGGAAAAGGGTAGATCGGTGAATAACCGGCCAATTCTGGTCGTGGTGTAAGCTGTAGGGACAGATTCCGGCTATCACCGACGGTGGTTGTCGGAGTCTGGAAAGTATGGGTGGGTGGGGGTGTTTTTGCTAATTTTTAAACTTTTTTTGGTGATATTTAGTGAAATTAATAAACTTAAGGGGTTTAAAAGTAATTAAAAAAATACACTAATATTTTTGGAATAATGTGTAAAACAATATTTGGAGAATAAGATTGGGAATATGGGTAGAAATATTGAACCAAACGCACCCTAAAAGTTAATTTTTTATTAACAGGATTCTGTATACTTCACATTAACAGGCACTTCTAGCTGAGGGGCGGTTTTACTCTGATCTGGAGCTTACTGAAAAGGAAATTGAGTGTATGGTGATGGAAGTTTCTCGAGCTGAGTATCTTGCTAATGACAAATTCAAGCAGCAACTTGCCCGTAAAGATTCGTCTACTTCAGGGGCTGAACCTTCATCCTCTGGAGCTCGTGAGTATATTCTTCAATTATGCAATTTCTTTCACAATTAGTGGATGCAAGTGATGACAACTAGAGGAAAACTTGTCTCGTCTTTCTGTTTATCTCCATTATACGTTTTAGGAAGGTGTTTAGATTTTCTTATGGCTAATATGCATTTAAGAATCAGTTATTTTTCCTGCTAGCAAATTAAAACTTAACTATTTGATAGATGGGCATTCTATCATGTTGGGGAGGAGTATTGTACAGGAGATATTGGATCTGGATCCGGATTACTTTATTCTTATCCATTGTATTATAGTTAATCAGTACCTATACCGTCTCATTACACCGTTGATGATTGGTTACCTTCTATGCAGGGTCATCATGTAGTGAGAGCAAAGTAGACGGTGGGAGAGAGAGCAATATACAAGATACAGTCCTGAGCAGCGGTATGCAGATGGTACTATCCATGGGGTTCAGCTATTTGCAAGTAATAGAAGCTTACAGCATATTTGGTGATGACGTCGATTCTATGGTGTGTTACCTGCTAGAAACTGGGAGTAGCAGCAGAAGAAAAGGCAAAGCAACTGAATAAGTAAAAACTGCTGGTGGGGTAGAGCAAAACGCAGATTGAAAATGTAGGAAAACCATGTTGGTGACATTGTAGCTGCTTACGTTTTACCATTTAAAGAGGACACTGTCAAGAACCTTTTTATTATAGTACTTCAAGATAAACAAAATAGGACTAATGCGTGGCATAACCGTCATAGTATAAAAATGTTTTAATAAGAAAATTCTACCAACAATCTCATTTTTCTTTTACTCAAATCCTGTGTGCATCAATGAGTGAACTCTCTGGTAAATTTATTGTGCAAACCTATATAGCTAGTGTCAGAATCAAGAATGATATAACAATTATCATTCAATTCAGTAGTTGGATGAATTTTATTTCGTATATTAATTTTAGGGAGATTTATTATTATAAAAGGAGAATTTCATATTCATATGATTATTCCTAAGAGCACACTTTTCCATTCTTTTTATTTATAACAAGAAAAGTTCTGCTTATCTTTGTCCCTCCTCACTTTTAGGCAATTGTATTATTAAGTGTTCTTTAGAATTTAGAAATGGTGTCTTGAACTTGATTAGGAACATTTGTCTTCAAGAAAGGGATAGGTTGATAATTCTTGTAACATTACACGTAATATGTTTAGAGCGATGCTATTGGTCAGTAATTTAATTTAATAAACTTCATTCCAAAGTTTACCTTACTAACATTTTTAAATGTTTAAATAAATCTTATCTATTTATTTTTATACTTTCTTAATCTTTATCTATATATATATATATATATATAAAAAGATTGGATGGAGGTATTTCTTAGAAATTATGTTTTTATGTGGGTTGTAATTGATGAAATATTTTGGTGTGTAATTAAAGTGAGTTAAACCCAATTGAAATTAATTTGATTTTTCAGTCAAATAAAGAATAAAGGTGTACATCTGATATAAGATAAGAGTAAACGACATGTTCCCACCCAAAGATTGGCGAAAAGGAAAGTTTCCACAGCTAGTTTTATTTATTCCAGATTCCCCCCTTAAAGTAACAGAGTCAGTGTGCTCCATATATGTAGGGTTTACCAAACTACCCTTCCTCCTCCTCCTTCTTCTTATTCTTCTTCTTCTTCTTCTTCATCATCATCTCCCCTTCTTGATCTCCATTGCCACTGTTGCCACCTAGCCACCGTTGGTTGTCGTTTTTCTACAAACAAATGGTGGGCATCAGTGGGTTAGTGGAAAATGGCCGTTTTTTCAACAATCTAATCTCTCAAAATTCAACAAATCAACTCCAATCAATAGCCAAACAAACTACACTCAAACAACTCCAAAAATCAAATCAAAGCAACCAAAAGTGAAGAACAACCCATTTTGAAGTTCCTTCACCACTCCCGCCTCATTGACACACCATCGTACTTCCTTTGCTACTCCCATCACCGTCGGCGACTTTTGAAGATCTCTCGCAACAACCCTACCCAAAACTTGCTCCCCATCTTTCCTTTGTCGCCGCAAAACCCATTCGCGAACAATACATGGAGAAGGCCGTTACGCCTCCTCTCCCCGCACCTCCCACTCCTGTCCTCCTACACCCCTAGTCAATCTCCCTGCCTAACTGTCGCTGAACGCATCTCGTGCGCCTTCACGCGACAAGCTCTGTTTTTCCGATTGAGATTTGATTGAAGAAGTTGATTGAATGCAGTTTGTTGGGATTTCGAAGTGTATTCGTGTTGTTGATTAAAGTTATTAGTGTTGGTGTTGGTGTTCGTGTTGGTATTGGTGTTGGTGTTGGTGTTCGTGTTGGTGGTGGCGGTATTGGTGGAGTTGGAGGCGGTGAGGAAGGGTTGGTTTGCAGAAAATTTTGAGATGGATAGGGTTTATTATTTTTGGAAATAAAAATACCTATATACCCCCTTAACCGCTATATCAAATGATTTTTATTAATTTAAGGGTGAGAATTTGGAATAAATAAAACGCAAAAATGCTATGGACACCGAATGTTGGTACCAAAATTTTGCATCGATCTATTTGACATTTGACTCGGATGTGGCCACGTAGGACACAACACAGGTATTCAATGAATGAACGACCGTCCAACAATTATGGACGCCCGTCCATGTCTTGTGGACGACCGTTCATCATAAATGGACGAGAGTCTAGGAAATATCAATGAACTCCCGTCCATATATTATGGATGAGAGTCCCTTTACTATGGACGACTGTTCATCATAAATGGACAATTGTCCATCTCAAATAAATTTTTTTTTTTTTAAATTTACAATTTCTTTTTCATTTATAAAAAACTATCGCTTGTCTAAGTCAAAATTTTTAGATGAAATATTCATTTTTAAAGCACAAAACTTTTAGATGAAATAAAGGAAAAAAAAAAATTGATTTTTAAAGTAAAAAGCATGGACGCTAGTCCATCTAATGAGGATGGCGGTCCATATACAATGGACGACCATCCAAATGAGATGGATTGGTGTCCATACTCAAATAATATTTTTTTCATTTATAAAAAAAATGCAAAGCAAGAGATGGATAAAAAGTATTCACAATGTATAATGTTTTAAATAATTTTTTTTATTAAACTAGAATTTGGGTATGGACAGCCATCCATCTTACACGGACGGCTGTCCATTGTATATGGACGCCCATCCATTATTAGTTTTTAAGGGTCCGTTTGGTTTGTTATTTTGGATAGGATTTTGGAAATAATATTGGATAGTTGAGTAGGGTTATTATTACGAGAATATGATTTGAATAAAATATGTTTGGTTGAGTATTTTGACCTTGTTATTTGTGTTGAATATTTGATTGATATATTTTTTTTATAAATGATTTATTAATATAATATTTTGATGCATTTTGTTAAAATAATGTATTATTATAACCTTAAAACTTATCAATTTACATTTTAATAATATTAAACATTTTATTGGTAATTTCGTAACTAGTAAATATTAAAAAAAAAAAAACCCTCATATTAATTTCAAGTACTAATCCAACTGTTTAAAAACACCACATTAATACATATATGACAAATGTACTGATTATCAACCCTTAGAATATTGTTACACGTATACTGCATTAAAAACTATGACATGGTCATATATGCTGCCCACAGTTCAGTCGTTATGTTATCTCGTACAGTCGTCATATTGTCTATAATACTTTGCTGCGGTTGACTCGATCCTTCTCCATTTATGCCATCTTCTGCCCCATTTTGGTAATCACAAAATACTTGCTCATTACCCATATTTTCAGCATACCGTTCGAAGATAGGGTCCTCTATATTATACATTATGATAAAATTATGAAGTATACAATATGTCATAACAATCTTCCCTTGTTTGTCCAACGGGTAATTGTTCACTCCATTCAGAATACGGAACCGTCTTTTTAAAACACCAGAGGTTCTCTCGACAACATTACGGAGTGAAGCATGTCTGTAGTTAAACAACTCTTGTGACCCCCTTCGATTATGGCGGTAATCAGAAATATGGTAAGCCACTCGCCTGTGAGGGGCAAGGAACCCCTCTTTATTTGGATAACCCACGTCAACCAAATAATATTTCCCTGTAATAGAATCACACATGTTATTTGAAAATTTAAGGCCTCAACAGTGGAGTAAATATGCTATAATACGTCAAGAAAATACTTATACCTGGTGGAGGATGTGGGAATCCAGAATTAGGATCATCAAGAATTGAATTTAAAACTATTGAATCATGCGCAGATCCTTCCCATCCAGTAACGACATAAGTGAACATCATCCTAAAGTCATATACAACCATTACATTCTGTGACAATGTTCCTTTGCGATTCCGGTACCTATCGCCAAATTCTTGTGGAACTGAAGCGTATATATGTGTGCTATCAATGGCTTCAATATAGTCCTATCATCAAAATTGAATTTTAGTCATATTAACTGACTATCAACATTAATAACACAATGAACTTAACTATCCACTAATAGAAAACATAATGAAGAAGTACCTTAAAGAAAGGGTAATATTTTTGGAGGTTGATATTTCCCATGGAACATCACTGAAGTCAGGTGGCCTGATAAACTCTGTCTTCAACTCACATATCGCCTCGCAAACTATGCCAACATATTTAGAGATCGTCTCACCCGAATGTTGGAAATCCTCCATCATCGTTCTGATTGTCTCGTTTTTACCAACGATTGTCAGAAATATCATAATATGTTCTTCCATACTCGTCCTCCTGGTTAGTTGCAATTTCCCTTGTTGTGCCAAAATGTAACATAAGTATGTAAAACAGTCTTTGTTCATGCGACACGTTTCAAAGATCTTGTCAGCATGACCATTGAGTACTTCCAACATGTACTTATGACTAGTTAATATGGATGTATGTCATAGTTGAAACCTAGCTGTTTCTAACGCGGCAACACTGTAAAGTGCAATGGTTATATCTGTCAGTATTTCTTCTTTCTCATCTACATTCTGTCATTTTCTTTCTGTATGGCTAGACGACGCCATTTAAACCTGCACATTTGCAAAACATTGATCAACAATTAACAGTTGTTGTACTGCTTAGCAAAATATAACAGTCAATATTTAATTCTAATGACAATCCAAAACTCATATGAAACATGTAATCTCACATAAAACAATAACACAATGAATAAGTTCATACAGTAGCAGACATTTGGAGACATTTTCAAATCAAGGTGTTGAACAGAAATTTGGTTTACCCATAAAAGGACAAGTGCCCACTGGCGCATACAAAAGTGTTGGCAAACACTTAGGACATACAGTGTCATCTACAAATTGCAAAAGTCGTTATAAATCCAATTAGCCTTTTCTTCGGCCAGGAGTTTCACGAATACCTTCGCCACCCCGGATTTTGATATAAGTACTTCACAACCGACATGTAAAACTCTGTGGGTACTTGTATGACCGTCAAGATGTCAATACAATTGCTCATGGAAAACAGATCAGATGGACTACTGGTGTTCTTTTCGTCCTCCTCATCTCCACTGCAATTGATAGCCCTCAATCTCATACTCTGCCTCTCCACAAGCACTTCCGTCAATCTACCAATGACATCCACAAGTGCCTGTCCCCGATCGCTTCTGTCCCTCCTATTTCTAGGTGTTCCATGGCCAGATGTGTTTTCCTGTTTTTCCCCTATCGTCCGATCTGGATCAGGTTCAAAGTCACTATCATCAATGTCAACCGCGCCCTGATTGGAATAAGTGAAGGTCTCCACCAGTTGAGATGTAGATGTGTACGCATATCTCCCAATGGCAGTTTGCTTCTCAAACATGATTTCATAAAGCTTCTTGTGAGGAAGTCCCTTGTGGTAGAATTGTTGCGCCTGTGGGTTTTGCTGGTAATGCAAAATAATAATATATTAATATTTGGCAGTCCCC